AGGATGTGGAGAAATAGGAACACTTTTACACTGTTGGTGGGATTGTAAACTAGTTCAACCATTATGGAAAACAGTATGGCGATTCCTCAAGGATCTAGAACTAGAAATACCATATGACCCAGTCATCCCATTACTGGGTATATACCCAAAGGGTTATAAATCATGCTGCTATAAAGACACATGCACACATATGTTTATTGCAGCACTATTCACAATAGCAAAGACTTGGAATCAACCCAAGTGTCTATCAGTGACAGACTGGATTAAGAAAATGTGGCACATATACACCATGGAATACTATGCAGCCATAAAAAAAGATGAGTTCGTGTCCTTTGTAGGGACATGAATGCAGCTGGAAACCATCATTCTCAGCAAACTATCGCAGGAAAAGAAAACCAAGCACCGCATGTTCTCACTCATAGGTGGGAATTGAACAATGAGATCACTTGGACACGGGAAGGGGAACATCACACACCGGGGCCTATTGTGGGGAGGGGGGAGGGAGGAGGGATGGCATTGGGAGTTATACCTGATGTAAATGACGAGTTGATGGGTGCTGATGAGTTGATTGGTGCAGCACATCAACATGCCACATGTATACATATGTAACAAACCTGCACGTTGTGCACATATACCCTAGAACTTAAAGTATAATAAAAAAAAAAAAAGGAAAAGAAAAAAAATTAAGCTCTCTACCCCTTCAACATTCTGGTATATTATAAATACATTTGAAAATAAAATAAAATAAAATAAAATATCACCCGGCATACAGACCTTAAACCTTCTAACTTCTGACAAAGAACTTTGCCTTTCTACTTAGGAATTCAATAAAAAGGAAGAACTCTCAAGCCTCCTCCGGAACACAGCTAAGTGCTGAGGAATGCTAACTTCCAGGAGAGCATAGAGCGGTTCATCTTCAGTCAATGTACATGCCCTGGAGCCAAGAAATGGGTTAGAGAAAGGGGCATGGTACTCCAGACCTGCATATGTGATTCTGGATGAACAGTGACCACAGAGGACAAAGGAGTAGGGAGAGGAAGAGACTCATGATGTACCCAAATCACCTGTGTCACGGTTAATTGTCAACACAGTTCCCGAAGGAGGTCTTTGGAAGGGATACTACAAGACTCCAAGCCAAGTGAGCCAGAAATAAATGCTTTAGAAAGCACGTCAGTGCAAGTTTGGACCCTGGTGAAATTCTGGTGCCGTTTTTTCAGTGACTGGGGTACATGTTTCGGCGACCATTCTTCCTGAGGCTGAGTTCATACCATATCTCATGTTTTACCGCTAGCCTGGAGGCAATCTCTGGACCTGCTCTTGAGGTTTGAGGGGAACTGTTCTAGTTGATTTCTACTGTCACAGGTCTTCCTTTCATGTCCTTCTTCTGTCTTGCATTTCCACTCCCCCTCAGCAACTCCCCTATTGTTCTCACGCTCCACATTGTCAGTCTCTTTTCTCCCTTAGTTCAACCAGTTGACTCTTTAGAGCTCCAAAAATACAACAGTTTGGTTGTTTTAGGAAAAGAAAGTCCGGAGGGCAGCTATGTAGAAACCTTGTGAAATGATGGAACAGAAAACAGAAATTATAATCATGTCCCTGAACAAGGCTATCTGAGGTGAATGATCTGTCAGAATAAAGTATATAATGTTTTCATATATAATGAAGCATATAATCTGACAGAGAAAGAGAAGTAGGAAGGGTCCAGGATAGCGATCCTTAATCCTAGATGTCTATTAGCATTATCTAGGGGAACTTAAAAATACAGATACCTGGACCCCATACCAGAGATTTCCATTTAACTAGGGTGGAAATGGATTGACCATCAATGTTTATAGAGTCTCCATAGGTGTTATGAATGTGCAGGCAGGGATGAGAATCATTGGTCTGATCAGAGCTCAGCTAATCCAGTACAGGATGATAGCTAAATGTACAGCCAGCAGAGAAAATGCTGAAAAACAAACCACGAAGTCTGCGTTCCTGTAGTTAATGTTGGCATAGCCTGAAACAAAAAGGAGAAAAAGTGATAGGTAGAAGGACTTCGTGTCCCCTACTCCATGACTCCTCTCTTTCAAATGTGTTGTCTTGCAGTTTACATTCTTTAGGCCCTTGGACACCAAGGCAAACAGACCTTGATAATATAATCAGTCATCAATCAATAACTCAAATATTATTGCTGTATAATACTTTTATTAAAGTTTTATGGAAAAAACCCACATTTCTGTATGTGTCATATCATATAATTTCCAGGTGTGTCAGAGTCCAGTGACAAATTACGTTTGAAGAACAGCTTTAAAATCCACTCTTATCTGCCACTCCTTTATGAAATATTGAAAAGCAGCTCTGTACCTCAGCATTAAAGGTTACAAAAAGCACCATTAAAAAGAGGACTCACATATTGAATTCCCTTCAAATTAGTCTTATCTCTCCTTTTGGACAGATACAGAGCTGCACTCATTTGAAATGCTGCTGTGTAATACCAACCAACATGCTCCAATTTACCAAAATTCAAACAAGTCTCATATATGAAACCTGTGTAGCGATTAGGACTAACCCACCACAGTGAGCTTTGGCTGTCCTAAAACCACAAGCTGGGTTAGGTAAGTGTTTTGTAGAGGGGAACAGAAAAGAAGTAAGATCATCAATACCTAATATATTACTTAATGTAGGTATCCCTTGACGATTTAACCTGACACCTACAAAATCCATAGTGTTTAGTATTTCACACCAATCTCACTGCAAAAGTGCTGTGCTACATACAATTCAAGTTAACTCCAACTAATATTGGAACTAATAAAAAAGTAATTTATAACAAAGCTTATTCACTTCAAAGCACAATTAAGAAAAGCAAATCCAGACAAAGCCCAAACTAGAATCCTAGAGGGATTCCATTGCTAAGAATTGCCATGTGTTATGTAATTTCTGTAATGTAGTTACTGCAAGTAATAAACTTGAGTTTTTTCTCTTTTTTCCCTTCTTTCATAGAATTTAAAAAAGATTTGGCTTTTTACTCTAAAAGTTTGGGTTCATTGCAGAAATCACAGTCCTTCCATATCCAATTGTGACTGGCACTTAAGGAGAGACAAATGCTAAGATCCAAAGAGTTTTGAAAGACCCTAATTGCTACCCCTCCCAGGTCCCGCATTCCATGGGTAACTGGAGTCAGCAACCCCTGGTAGAAGACAGCAAGAACTGGGCTTTAAGGGTGAATCAGAATTATGCAGGAATACACTGTACATTGCTAGTAAGCCCACGCCCCAAATCACTAGAACGTGAGAATGTAGAAATCTCTGAGAACAGAATGTATTTCAAACACACACAAACATAGACTATTGCATATCATTTTTAGTTGAGGTCAAAATGATTAAAGCCCTATTTCCCCAATTAAAAGCAGGGAGTTCTATTACTATGTCTTCTTCATTTATATCACAGATTAATATAAACCCAGTCTAGAGGTATCACTTCTTTCCAAACTTAACTTCATTTCAGCAGCATACATGGAATATTAATTCTTTTCAAAGTTTTTATTCCAGACCCATTAGATCTACAAGAGACTAGAAAGAATTGGAGAAAAGTAAGTGGGCCTGGGTTTGTAGGATCCTCACAAACTTCTCCTGGATTCTTCTTTTACAAAGTTTCTCCACCATACAAGCCTACGTTTAAAAAGCCAACATTATTGAGGTTAGGTATGCCCTTCAGGGGTGTTGCCTAGAATGGTTAAATCCCATTCCATTTCAAGCTTAAAGGAGGCTAACAATCATGGTGTGGAATTTTTCCATACCAGCAGCATGGCTAACGTATGTGTTTTACGTAATGTCTGACACTCTGGGAAAGTCTGCCTGACAAATGAGCTTAAAGCAGAGTGGAAAGGAAAGAGGAGAGAATTGGAACACGATGCAAAGGGAAGATGGTTATACACTGCTAATTCTGTACAGTGAGATCCAAGGACACCACCATGTGGTGTCTGATTTAATTTCTTTTTAAAAGAGGACATTTTCAGTTCTAAGTTACTCAAGACTTTATTCTCCTATTATTACTCCTCAGCTCAGTCACTCTTCTCTTCCCCACAATTCCAAAACTATGTTGCAGTTCTTTAAGGGTCAGCCCTCATGAAGAGCTATTTTCTTACTTTGCCTACTTTGACTCTGTAAAATTCCAACAGGCAAAATAAAGGCTAAAAAAATTTTTTGCCTTTACTCGTTTTCAAAATCTGTCAAACTCTCCTCAGCATAAAATTAATTATCCCTTTAACTAATCAACACACAAGGACAAATGAGTAGTACTTTGGGTTACTTCCTTCTCTTCCTCCCTCTCTTCCAAATAGACTGAGATAAGTCTTCTCAAAACCATGGGATGTATTAGCAGTATAGAAAAGGGACAGCACCCAGTGCTGAATGAGTCAGCAACCAGTGCCTCCTACCCATTCCCTTCTATACCAGCTGGTGGGCTCCCATTTCACATCTGGCTGAGAGTTACCTCAGAACTTGGGAAACTGACACTCTCTGCACATTTCCAGATAGAAAGATCTGAAGGTCACTAGCATCAAAATCTACTGTCGGGAGGCCGAGCTGGGTGGATCATAAGGTCAAGAGATCGAGACCATCCTGGCTAACATGGTGAAACCCCGTCTCTACTAAAAATACAAAAAATTAGCTGGGCGTGGTGGCGGGCACCTGTAGTCCCAGCTACTTGGGAGGCTGAGGCAGGAGAATGGCGTGAACCCAGGAGGTGGAGCTTGCAGTGAGCCGAGATCGCACCACTGCACTCAAGCCTGGGTGACAGAGCGAGACTCCGTCTCAAAAAAATATATAAAAAAACCTACTGTCACTGGGGGCAGACCCATTTCACAAAAGCCTCAGGCCTGAGAGAAATTGAAGAGATCTCTTTTCCTGCCCCACTCTACTGTGTGGAGTAAAAATTGTCATACACGAACACACAGATATTACGTTTCAATACTGTTGACAAGAAATATGAATATAACAAACTTCATGTAACAACCAAGATTTTGAATCCTCCTAAGTGGCCCACTTATGTAATGGGTATTGGATAAAAACAAAATTCTAGTACAACTGAAGACTGTAAATCCTGAGAGTTGGTTATAATAGGATCTGGCCTGGATTTTTAAATGGCACACCATTCAAAAAGTGGTTGGGAACATAAAAGGTTCTCCACAAAAGCCTTTTGCTGCAGAAGGTGGCCTTGGATGGTTAAAGTAGTATTTCTTAGCAATTAACCACCAAAGCATTTAGTTATTTGCACCCCAGCAAAACAACAATCCCATACTTTACTCCATCACACCTGGAATCCAAGAGGTCTACAAGTCCGAAGACAACTGCGTTGTCAGCTTTGCATGGAAAAGACAGGAGGTAGCTAAACTGACCTGTAGGTGCCCTTTCCGTGTGGCTAGGCTCATCTGAGCAGTCAGGGAGTCTCTCATTCATCAATAGTTTAGCCTCCTTTAGTACTATTTGACTTATCTGTGAAATGGAAGAGCCCCAGCTACTTGGGAAAAAATGTTTTATCTCTGAACCCCAAAAGTGGATTGAATACTTTTCAGCTCACAAATGGAATTCAGTGACCCCAATTAATCATCAAACCCTTTAAAAAGAAGAGGCAGGAGATCAAAATGATTTTGTTAACACTTGGTGCAAAGAACGATACTTTTCATGGTTGGGAATACTAGGAATACTTTCTTGCTTCTTGGCCTAACAATCTTTAAAATGAGGGAACTCTTTAGGTGCATCAAATGAATTAAATGAACTTGAGCAGTTTATCTAGAGCAGTGTTTAGTGCAGTGATGTGTACAGGGTTGGCCATATTGATCTAAGAATGTGGAAGGCTAGACTAGAGAAGAAAATCTGAAGAAGCATTTATCAAAAGCCTGAAATTCTCCAACGCAGTCTCTTAAGACCAATGAAAAGGCATTTTTTTAATTAAAAAAAAAAATGCAGGCACATAAAAATCTTTCAAGGATGAAAGACACGAAAGTACTCCCCGGTTCCACTCCTACCTTCAGAACTGTTTGCTGAGAGAGAAAAGACAGAAGCAGGGCCAGGCAAAGTGTGAAAACTTTCGGGAATTTGCCAATACAGCCTGAGCCGTGGCACCAAACTAAAACAAAAAAGTAGATGTTCTGCATTCTGCTTTTCTTATAATGAGGAGACATATTTCCTTTAGAAGTTAAAACAAACACGTCAAAGTGGCCTGCGCCTGTGCTGGGCTAAAAAGGGACCTTCTGACAGCCCTAGTGTCTGGGGTGGATCAGGTGCCACAAAACTTTTCAGTCACTTACCCAGTGAGTTTTGTGTTAGAGAGGGGTCAGGTATGGGATCTGAAGGAGGCTACTAGAGGAAGAATGTGAAATGAGAGGAAAAAGGGTTCTTGTGGGGCATCTGGTATCATATAAACAACACACATTGTGCCACATACTCTGGGAATATAGAGAACCCATGCAAGAAAAGCTGCCCTTGCAATTAGGCAGCTGTTAAGTAGGGCAGCAGTCTAGCACAAGCCCATTCCTTGGAGAGCCAAGGTAGCAGTGATAGAATCTCCGCCCAACAAGGATCCTAAGAGTTTGCTGTTCTTTCATTTTAGGAAAAAAGCTTCCTATATAGTTATTCCTGCAGCGCCCCCAAACAGGTCTTGGTGAAAACCCATAGGCAGAAATAATACTTCTAGCTGGGGCTAGGAGGCTTTCATTTACCTTCTTCTCATATGTATATATTTTTTTCTTAAAATAAATTCCGTGAACTCATAAAGCTCTCATCTGCAATCAAATGCAAAAGCAGAGCGTCCTACTCAGAGGCTCTGAAACACACATATCGGCCTCAAAGCAAATCAGCCTTCCAGTCTCAGGTAAGACTGGTTCAGTCCAGAAAGGCAAGGGAGATGCTTCTCTTGAATCCTTGGAGGCAAGAAGGGATTCCTTCAGATGGGCTTGTATAGCAGAGTAGTAACATACTTCTTCTTGTAGCGATGGGTTGCGCTAAGGACCATCACACTATCCTGCAAGGAAAAGAAACATACGCAGCTAATTCATTAGTTCAGACAGTAGGTAGCTCTTCCCAGCCATCAGTCCTTCAGTCACTCACTTTTAACAGAGATAGTTTGATGTAAGAGAAGGAGGTCAGATAAGTTTTAGTTCCAATTCTGACTCCTGTCATCATTCTACTTGTGGCCTTGGGTAATCTACTTAGTGTGTCCAAGTCTTTTTATCTCATCATTACAAAAGATAACACCTACCATTAAGGTGGCTCTGATGATTACATGAGAATATCTGACATAGTTTCTGACACATAAAAGCGCTGAAGAAATATTAGTCTCCTACCCTGCTCCCTTCCCTACTTTAAATTCTAATATTGGGCCTAAAACTAGCAAGGAAAAAAAAAAAGAAAGAAATATTCTGGCATCCATTTCCAGAAGAAAGTCTTAAAGACAATGAGAAAAAAAGAAACAATCCTTCTGAAAAACTATCTCCAAGTCCCAAAGCAGGTCTAAGTTCCATTTAATGCCAGGGATGAATTCAAAAAGATCTCTCTGATTTAGAGGGAACCTAGGAATCTCTCTCCATCCTCGAACAAAATACATGCCAAAATCCTCTTCAGAAAGACACCCAATCCAATGGATCAATTCCAAACCGCCTAAACAATCTGAGAGAATCAGGAATGGGTCTGAACCAAGCTGAGCCACAATAACCAACACCTTCACCTGAGTCAGAACCAGTAAGAAGAGAGCAAGAGGCACCATTTCCCAGGCTGTGCTGCAGACTACAGATGTACCACAGGAGGAGATGGCAAGCCTAGGTAAATTAAATGACACCCAACAAGCAGTTACAGGAGGCAAAATCCATCAGATCCCAAAGAACCTAAGCAAATCCCATTAAGAACAAGTGTATCCTTCTACTTTCCCCCATACTGTATTATCTACCATGAATGCTTCTCGCGTTAACACTCCAGAGTTGACACAAAGCCTAAATACGACAGAAAGCAGGTAAAAAATTCACTTTTACACTTCCACAGGTTTTGTGGAAATGAGGAATAGGTGAGAAAAACCTACTTGGAAAGACCTGGCATAATGATAATATAGGAAAGAATATGAAGTTAGCATAGGCGGATTGGACCTCAGCAGTCCTGTCTCTGGTACTTACTGGCAATTTGACCTTCTCTGAGCCTTAGTTTCTTTATCTATAAAACAGGGGTTAAAAATAATACTTACAAGGTTATTATAAAAATTAAATTCAATAATATATTTTTAAGTATTATATTGTACCACATAATTTGTTAGCTGTATCAGTGATTTCCCGAATCCAGCTATATTGCCAAGTAAAAGCAGCTTAAAAAAACTATAGGGCCCATCCTAGATGCACTTATTCAGAATCTCTAGGAATGGAGCTGCTGAATCTGTATTTTTACAATCTCCCCCAGGAGACTCTGATGATAATCAGCCTGGTTTGATAATCACAGAGCTATATAACTTTATTCCAATAGCCAAACCACAAAGACACAACAAGACAGAACAGAATGGCTATTTTCAACCCAGACTCTAAAGCAGCAGAAAAACCAAGGAGGACTCTGGAGTTGAAGAGACGGGCAAATCTGGTCACATCTCTCCTTTAACTCGTGTATAGGAGAGATGCAAGCACCTGAGTATATATGAATGAGGCACCTGAAAGCAGCTCAATTCCACCTTCAAAAAAGTGAAAGCCTTAATATCACATTAAAGCATTCTTTGAACTGGAAGCTAAACCTGCTTTTTCTGCAGAATAAATCCTATGCTATGAACTGAAACTTAAGTAAATAGCTGGTGGAAAGATTCTAGCCACCCAAAAAATAACTGGGCAGCAAAAAAGTCCTATCAGAGGGCAATTCAGCCAGCCAGAACACAGAGACTGAGATTTTAAAACAAACAACCTATTAGTTAAAAAAAGAGAGTTCTTCTATAATTTGATCATTACTGCCAGTTTCAGCTTCAATGAAATAGCAGAGAAAGTAACCACTGAGAACATATGTTACCCTTGACCTCTCATTCCAGGGAGCTCTGTGAAGAGCCAGGGCCACCACTCACCTTAATGGACAATGCATAGAGATGGTTCAGCATAACATGGTTGGGCTCAGGGAGTAAGGCTGGGTCACACTAAGAGAGAGAGAAAAAAATTACTAAATGAAATTAAGGCACAGACAAACCAAACAGCTTACTCTTCCTCAGAGCTCTTTGAGAAATTTAAACTAGAATGCGCTCTCTCTTTTCAATAATGTACCCACTCCAGTATGTATCAATAATAAAATCCTATTACAGAAAATTAGAAAAATTATCAGTCCAGGGCAGAAATCTTACGCCTCAGCATCTACTAATCTTCCTTAAGAGAGTTAGAACAAAAATCTTGCCCACAACACACAAGGAAGAGTTGTGTTACAAGGTAAAAATAATCATAGTAGGAATCAAGTAGATTGAATACAGACATAAATTATATACAAAAAAACTTTTATAATTCTTTTGTACATCCCCAAATGATAACTACTACTTCATGCTGTGCTCAAACAGAAGTCCATAGCTGTGATCCTGATTTTATTACGATGAGGAGACAACTACGATTTTTTATATGAATGGCTGAAGCAGCTGTGACTCAGCACTGGAAAAAGGCAATCTGTAATGTTACTGATATGTGTATGACTTGTAATCTCAACACACCTCTGTAATCATCCTAACCTCCAGGATCACTGAACTTTGGTCCAAATGGTCCTAGACACTCCCAGATGCCCCAGTAATACTGAGGATACTCACAGAAATATTAGTGTCTTTGTTAAGAATAACTTGAAGTAGATGAGGAGGAAGGATGGGTGGGGATTTGAATCTTTCCTCAGATCGAAACACATACATTTCTTGACCATAAGGCCCTGGGGGTGAGCTGGAAAGGTCTGAAAGATATTTATACAAATATGAGAAAGAGTTGGAGAATTAGCAAGAATGCATGGAAAAAGTTATCAATACATGGCAGCTAACATTAAATATAGTAGAAGTCCTGGATCACAAACTTGTGACCTGTGGGATCTACAGCTGTAAGGTAATCAGAGAAAAAATCCGAGTCCCCTGGACATAAACCATGAAGCTCCTCAACATGGCAACATGATTTGGGAGACAAAGAGATAAAGACTCAAAGACCCAGGCTCAAGGAAGAGCTATTACATTTATCAGTTGTAGGACCTTGGAAGAATCCCTCCATAATGGTCAGTTTCTTCATAAAATAAAAATAATCTTTGCCCTATTTCATGATGTTTTTGAGGAAATCAAATTAGATAATGGATGTGAAGATGTCTTGTAACTTTCAAACAATGGGAAAAGATTAGATTTTTTTTTCCAGCCAAACAACAAGTTTATAAACCCCTAACACTACCAATACAATAATGATTACAACAATAAGGACAAAATGTATGTAACTGTCATTAGGGAAATGCAGATCAAAACCATAATAAGCTACCATTTCATACTCACTAGGACAGCTAAAATCAAACAGATAGACAGCAACAAGTGTCAACAAAGGAATGAAGAAATTGGAACGCTCACACTATTCCCACTGCTAGAGGGAATGTAAAGTAGTCCCGCCACTTTGGAAAACAGTTTGGCAGTTCCTCAGATAGTTAAACATAAAGTTACTACATGACCCAGCAATTATACACTGGGTATATACCCAAAAGAAATGAAAACATACGTCTACACAAAAACTTGTATGTTCATAATAGCATTATTTATAATAGCCAAAAAGTGGAAACAATCAAGATGTCTATCAACTAATGAAAAGATAAACAAACAGTATGTCCATACAATGGGCTCTTATTCAGCCATAAAAAGGAGCAAAGTACTGATACATGGTTACAAGATGGATGAATCCTGAAAACATGAGGCTAAGCAGCAAGTCACAAAAGACCACAATTTGTAGGATTCCACTGATATGAAATGTCCAGAAGAGGCAAATCCTTAAGACAGCAAGATTTGTGGTTGCCAGACGCGGAGGGGAGGAGGGAATGGGATGTGACTGCTCATGGGTACAGGGTTTATTCTGCAGGTGATAAAAATACCCTGGAATTAGATAATTGTGATAATCACACAACTCTGAGTATACTAAAAATTACTGAGTTGTACAATTTAAGAGTTAATTTTATGATGTATAAATTACATCTCCAAAAAAAATGAAAAAAGTATGCAGACAAGAATAGAATGAAATATAGTAAAATGAAGAGAAATATATTATGATAATATCTTTTATTTAAATGTTATTGTTTCTTTTTTGAGACAGGGTCTTGCCCTGTCACCTCGGCTGGAGTGCAATGGCTTGATCACGGCTCACTACAGCCTTGACCTCCTGGGCTCAAGCAATCCTCCTACCTCAGCCTTCAGAGTAGTTGGTACTAAAGGCACATGCCACCATGCCCAGCTAATTTTTTGATTTTTTTGTAGAGACAGAGTCTCACTATGTTGCCCAGGCTGGTCTCAAACTCCTGGGCTCAAGTGATCCTCCCACTTCAGCCTCCCAAAGTGCTAGGATTACAGGTGTGAGCCACCAAATTCATTGTAAGAACTAAGTTCCAGTGTTCTATTGCACAGTAGAGTGAATATAGGTAACAATAATGTAACAAAATAAAATAGCTAGAAGAAAGGATTTTGAATGTTATCACCACAAAGAAATGACAAAGGGGGCGGGTGTAAGTAATAGATTTGGAGGGAGGGGTGATCAGAGTCAGAATGGCTAATGGTGAAAGTTAAAAAAAAAAAATAGCGGGGGGGGGGGGTGTAGTAGGGAGGCTGGGCGGGAATGGGTGACGGAGCGGAGCTTGAGTGAGGAGATAGCACTGCACTCAGAAAAGATTAAAAAAAAAAAAAAAAAAAAAAAAAAAATGACAAATGTTTGAGATGATGAATATGCTAATTGTCCTGACTTGATCATTACACATATGAAATGTATTGAAACATCACATTGTATCTCACAAATATGTACAATTGTTATGTGTCAATTAAAGACCAAAAAATACATATAAGGCAAAAGGAAAAAAAGTAAAATACTCTGATATTAAATACTATCTTTAAAACATATGGAACTTGAAACTTTACAAAGTATTATGCTTTGTTATTTCATTACATGATCCACAAAATACCCTTGGGAAATGCACAAAATAGTTCTTATTGCCTTTTCACCAGAAAAAAAAAAATACAAATTGGTTATTTGCCTAAAGTTACATACATGACTAGATAGTAAATGAGGGCAGACTAAAATCCATTATCTGTAGATTCCTAGGAAAAAATGGATTATAAGCGTTACCTCAATAGATTGGGAAATTAGGGGAAAGAGGGAAATATCAAAAGTATGTTAGTCTTCTCTCTATATAATTATGATTACATGTCTATTATTTATTGGTTACTTAGCCAGAATCACATAATACAAAAATTAGTTATAAGTATCCTCATAATCTAATTCAGCATTTTTTTTTTTTTTTGAGACGGAGTCTCGCTCTGTCGCCCAGGCTGGAGTGCAGTGGCGCGATCTCGGCTCACTGCAAGCTCCGCCTCCTGGGTTTACGCCATTCTCCTGCCTCAGCCTCCTGAGTAGCTGGGACTACAGGCGCCCGCCACCGCGCCCGGCTAATTTTTTGTATTTTTAGTAGAGACGGGGTTTCACCGTGGTCTCGATCTCCTGACCTTGTGATCCGCCCGCCTCGGCCTTCCAAAGTGCTGGGATTACAGGCGTGAGCCACCGCGCCCGGCCTAATTCAGCATTTTTAAACCCTTTTAAATTATTGTCCTACCAGTCAAAAATAATGTCCAGTTTAACCTTCTGAGTTTATATGATGAAAACAACATTTTCAAAATTTTCCTCAACAGATTACTACACTATTGATAAATCTTTTTTTTTTTTTTTTTTTTTTTGAGATGGAGTCTCGCTCTGTCTCCCGGGCTGGAGTGCAGGGGCGCGATCTTGGCTCACTGCAATCTCCGCCTCCTGGGTTCACACCATTCTCCTGCCTCAGCCTCCTGAGTAGCTGGGACTACAGGTGCCCGCCACCACGCCTGGCTAATTTTTTGTATTTTTTTTAGCAGAGACAGGGTTTCACCGTGTTAGCCAGGATGGTCTTGATCTTCTGACCTCGTGATCCACCCGCCTCGGCCTCCCAAAGTGCTGGGATTACAGGCGTGAGCCACCGCGCCAGGCTTTTTTCTTTTTTTTTTGAGATGAAGTCTCACTCTGTCATCCAGGCTGGAGTATAGTGGCGCCTTCTCAGCTCACTGAAACCTCCCTCTTCCACGTTCAAGCGATTCTTCCACCTCAACCTCCTGAGTAGCTGGGACTAGAGGCGTGTATCACCACGCTTGGCTAATTTGTATTTTTAGTAGAGACAGGGTTTCACCATGGTAGCCATATTGGTCTCCAGCTCCTGACCTCAGGTGATCCACATGCCTAGGCCTCCCAAAGTGCTGGGATTACAGGCCTGAGCCACTGTGCCCAGGCAATAATTTCCTTTAGAAACAGCAAAGCCACCCTTCTCCCCTGAAATTCAAATATGTTCCACTTAAGGTATTGTGCCTCCTCAGCTGAGAATCACTGAAAGTGTAAGTCCCTGGTTTTACTGTGAAGAAACTCAGAATGAAAAAGGTTGAGACATTTGTTCATGATGGCAAAACTAGTTAGTAGCAGAGGTAGGCTTTGAACTCATTAGATAGAAGTGTGCTCACTGGGAATACAGTGCACAATTCTTTAGATAGTCTTAGCTCTTATTGTAAAGTAACAAAATGGTAACTACAAGTGTGGTTAGCAAAACATTCTCTGATACTATAGCAATTGTAAGTAGAGATGAAGGCCTTGGATCAAGTAATATTATAGGAAATAAAAGTGTAAAGATCTTTTCCGCTACCAAAGACTTTTTTTTTTTTTTTTTAAAACCAAAAACTTACAAAATTTCAATTACCTACAACAGAATTGTCGGGGGGTGGTGGGGGCAGTGGTTGTCTTGTTTTTGAGGCAGGATCTCACTCTATTACCCAGGCTGGAGTGCGGAGGTTCAAACATAGTTCACAGCAGCCTCAACCTCCTGGGCTCAAGTAATCCTCATGCCTCAGCCTCCCAAGTTGTTGGGCCCATAGACTTGTGCCATTACACTCGGCTAATTTTTAAAAATTTTTTGTAGAGATGAGTCTTGCCATATTGCCTAGGCTGTTGGTTTTCTTTTTTTTTTTTCCCCACACTTTTTGGACCTCATAAAATCATGAAACTGCTAACTGAGCTCTCAAACTGGCAGGATTAAGATGGGGCATACCGAACAAACTACATACATGTATCTCCTCTGCTGGGTAATATCATCAAAGGTCAGTGGAAAACTTGAAATATTACTAGAAACAGCTTTTCAAACTATAGGCTGTAGCCCATTAGTGGTTATAATGTGTGTGTGTGTGTGTGTGTGTGTATGTTTGCTGCAAAGAAAACACTTAAATGTTTATAGGAGAATTATCTTTGTCTCTCTATTGCCTCCCCCCGCCCTCCACTTTCTCTCCCTTTCTCTCTCTCTCTCTCTCTCTCTCTATATATATATATACACACACACACAAACAACTTTTAGGAAGGAACATACATTACAAGAAAGACACAGCAAGAGAGAGTAAATACTACAAAATTACCTCTACAAGATGTCTCAGAACTTTCCATAGAATCTAGCTTTAAAGCATCGAACACCTCAAAATCAGATTTCTTGACATGGATCAAATTGTTAATAGTGCCGAGCTGACTGGTAACCACAGGCTGAAACAGTGAATACAAAAAATTATTGAATCTTTCAAATCTCTCTCTCCCATCCAACCTTCCTTTTTTACTAAAATTTACACATGATTGTACTCAACACCTCCACATTTTATCAAGAGAGAAATCCTCCAGTGTAGAGGGGCAGTTGCCCATCAGTCTTGACAGAAATGACAGCTAAAATGAGACTGCTAAGTCAATGGTTACCCTTGGAGATCAAGGCCTTACCTCTGATGGATCATGAACCCACTGTCCATCCACAAAGAACTTGTATTGGTGCTCTCCCTCAGGGAGGTCCAGGATGGCAACAAAGTCATTATGGCTACAGAAGAAAAAAGAAAGGCAGACAGGCCAAGTTTCTTTTAGAAGACTGAATGTAAAAAACAAATGGCAATCATAGTATCATATGAATAATTTCCCAGATTCCTAAGCCTTGTATCCCTGGTGTAAAAAACAACATATAAACCCATTCTCCTTTTCTGTATCATCTTGGACATGTATTTACCAGCTCCTCCCAACAACGTTAGTTCTTAACCAATATCTGGAAAAGAATAATAAAAACATTAATCCCCTCAAATGGTTCACCTAGTATAACTATTTTGCTTCAGTAGAACAAGTTCCTCAGCAGTGCAAATGAGATAGGTAGGTTCAGGATACAGAAGTGCCTCAAGGTACTTTGTTTTGGTGAACCTTTTCTGGAAAATGAACTACCATACAAAGGCTCATTCTGACAACCAGTTAAATCATTCATTATTGCTTTGGAAGCAACGAATAACATGACTACCTAGAACTTGAAAATATGTTTTGCTTTAGTGCGGAAGTCAGAGCAACAAGACTCAGCCAGTTACAGAAGACTTCCCACAAGCAGAGACAGGACTTGTATGACACAGTCCTTAAGAATGTAGTCACAAAGCTATTATGAATCCCTCTGAGGCAATGAAATTCTAAGGGATAAAAGACCTCTGACTCACTATGAGGTTAAAAAAAATCCCACAGATATACTAAGTGGCCACAGAGATATGTTCTAGAGAGAGTCCTTAGCAGGTGGAGAAAAGTAGTCCAGCTGGGTCTCTCTTCTGAGAAAAGAAATCAGGTCTCTATTCCTGGACCCTTAGATTCAACCAAGATACTTGTCACCTCTTAATCAGTGGAATCTTGGTGCTCCAATTGTTGAAGGACCCAGAGATGAAGACCTCCTTGCCTCCTTCAGACCAGCGGATAACAGTGGGCCGGGCCTGCTGTGTGGGCTTTACGGAGTCCTCCAAATCCTGCTGCCATGATACAAACTCTTTGTCCCCAGGGAGCTGTAAGAAGGAGTAGGTCATCCCTAGAATAAACTGTGACCCAAGAATTCTAAAAAGGTCACTCTCCTTCCTAGAGTAGAGAAGGGTGCTAGGCTTTGGCTAAGGATATAAACCCCAAAACTAGCAACTAAATCAGAGTTTGAACAAATTATAGAAAAAGAACTCATCTAGGACCAAAAATGGTCAAATGGCCTATGCTCAAGCACTGCCTAAATCACAGCTTAACTTTTGAGTCTACCTATATCACTCACCCTTTCACAGCCTTAGACTCTCCCTTTTAAAAAAAAAAGAAAAAAAACTAACTCCCTACCACTAGTTTAACTCATAGGCAGGCAATTATGATATGCTTCTGAGTCTTTCTTATTTTTTATTTTTTTTATTTTTTATTTTTTGAGACAGAGTCTTGCTCTGTCACCCAGGCTGGAGTGCAGTGGCGTGATCTCAGCTCACTGCAAGCTCCACCTCCCGGGTTCACGCCATTCTCAGGCCTCAGCCTCCCGAGTAGCTGGGACTACAGGCACCCGCCACCACGCCTGGCTAATTTTTTTGTATTTTTTAGTAGAGACGGGGTTTCACCGTGTTAGCCAGGATGGTCTCGATCTCCTGACCTCGTGACCAGCCCACCTTGGCCTCCCTAAGTGCTGAGATTACAGGTGTGAGCCACCGTGCCCAGCCTGTTACTGAGTCTTTTTTTTTTTTTTTTTTTTTTTTTTTTGAGACGGAGTCTCGCTGTGTCTCCCAGGCTGGAGTGCAGTGGCGTGATCTCGGCTCACTGCAAGCTCCGCCTCCCGGGTTCACGCCATTCTCCTGCCTCAGCCTCCCAAGTAGCTGGAACTACAGGCGCCCGCCACCTCGCCCGGCTAGTTTTTTGTATTTTTAGTAGAGACGGGGTTTCACCATGTTAGCCAGGATAGTCTCGATCTCCTGACCTCGTGATCCACCCGCCTCGGCCTCCCAAAGTGCTGGGATTACAGGCTTGAGCCACTGCGCCCGGCCGAGTCTTTTTTAAGAGAGAGAAAAAAAATGAAAACAAAGTATGGTTCTGTAAAAAATAATTAAGTCAGCCATATACTTTTATAGGCAAATATGAATAGTTCTCAATTACCAGTTGTAATGGAAGTTAGAGATATCAAAATTCTAGTTTATAAGTAATTCATAAACTCTATTTCAGCTAACAAGTTACAAAAAGAAGAAACATTAAAAATTCAAAAACCAGATCACTGATTTCTTAAAACTTGAGAAGTGGCTATGAAATCTTACTTACTCCCCTATCCCAGGTTTACACTAATTATTTCAGGAGTAGGAATAAAAATTCTAGAACCTCAAGGAGCAAGAGATCAAAAAAACAATTTCCTTTGTCAAAAGTAGCTCTCTTATTAAATGAGGTTTGTGGGATTGTAAAAACAGTAACTCCAGTTTCTTTTCATTACTATCCTTTGGACCAAGAGTTGGCAGCCAGCCAGTGAGCTAGATGCTTTTATCAAGTTTTATTTGAAAATAGCTCTGCCCGTTTGTTTACCTATTATTTTATTTACTGATTGACTGAGAAAGGACCTTGCTCTATCACCCAGGCTGGAATGCAGTGAGTGGTGTGATCATAGCTCACTGCAGCCTTGAACTCCTGGGCTCAAGCCATCTTCCCACCTCAGTTTCCAGAGAAGCTGAGACTAGAGGTATGAACCAAAATACCTGCCTTGCTTACCTATATTGCCTATAGTTGCTTACATGCTAGAGTGGCAGAATTGTGTAGCTATAGCAGAGACTGTATGGTCTACAAAGTCTAAACTGTTTACTATCTGGCCCTTTACAGAAAGATTGCTGACCCCTGTTTTAGACTGGTTTAAGTGACTTTGGTGAAGAAGACTGTATAGTATTAAGCCTAAGTATTACTAAATAGAATAATGTGGGGTTTTTCTTTTTCTTTTTCTTTTTTTTAAAGGACTAGCTTATTCATTTGGGCTTTCTTTTCAAAATGGTTGACATAGTTTCCACTCCATACATTCTCTTGATATTCCTCAAAACTGCAGTATAAGACATCAGCAGCAGGATAATCCAAAGTAAATAGAGAAAGAGAATTGAAAGGACTTTCACATAAGGAATTGACTTCAGAGAAAACTACATATTATCAGAACGATGCACCCTTGCCTAACTGGCTGCGTTAGAATCAAGAATTTGACATATGCCTAAGAATAACCCTCAGATTCTGATATGAGATCTGGGAATCTATTTTTAAAAAGCTTTCTAGATAATACTGGGATTACATTAAAATAAAGAAAAAAAGCTTCCCAGATATACCGTGATTATGTTAAAATAAACAACCCTCATCTTTAGAGGTACATCCTAAAATGTTACAGATAAAATAATATTTGATATAACGTCTGGGAATCTGCTTCAAAATAACTAGTGGGGGAATAGTGGACTGGGGTATAGATGTTATATGTTCATTCAAGATCTGATCATTGTTCAAACTGGGTGGCACGTATATAGATGTCATTATATTGTTTCCCCCTACTTTGACAATGTTTAAAATTTTCCAAAAAGTATGTAAAGAAATCTGAGGTGATTCTAATGTGCAAACAGGATTGAGAACCACTGAGCTAGTCCACTGAAAAAGGCAGGCATTCAAGCAAAGTAGGCCCCCTTACCACTGTTTCTATCAGTTACTTTTATGACAGGATTTTCAGTTTAGAATTTGAAAGCTACAAACTATTAATATGCCTAGCCTTGGAGGAAAGCCCTTCCACTTATGACATGACATTTCTGTAGTAGGAATGAATGCGGCTGACGAGCAGAAAGATTATTTACTCCAAGTTACTCAGCAAAACTACCAAGAAAAGAGGCAAAACAACAATTAGAACTACAGTTTGATGTTAAAATGTTGAGGTTAGAAGTAAAGAGGGTAGATTGAGAACTATAAAATATTAGATTTAAATGAGACCTTAGGAATTATCTGAACTAATTTTCAGACAATCTGAAAATTATATGAATAATTTTCTTAATTCACAAATGCCAAGACTGATGTGAGAGATAAGAATAATACAAAATAGGCCCCAGTTCAGACAGAGCAACCTGGCTTTTAATCAGGACACCAATTACTGCAGTCACAGTTCAACAAATACACTGTATTTAAATCCTGAGTCATCAGCGTAGGAAAAGGGTAAAAATATAATGAGGCAGATCATCTTTCGAAAGCTTTGAATAAGTAAATTCAGATGGCTTGTAGATAGCCCAAATAAGAATGGAGAATAAACACCAATAAGTGCTCCTTTTAATCACTCTCACTTCTCTGTGATTATGGTTTTTTTTTTTTTCTTTTGAGACAGTCTCACTCTGTGGCCCAGGCTGGAGTGCAGTGACTGGATCTCCACTCACTGCAGCCACCACCTCCCAGGTTCAAGCGATTCTCCTGCCTCAGCCTCCCGAATAGCTGGGACTACAGGCATGCACCACCACGCCCAGCTAATTTTTTTGTATTTTTAGTAGAGACGGGGTTTCACCATGTTGGTCAGGCTGGTCTCGAACTCCTGACCTCAAATGATCCAACGGCCTCGGCCTCCCAAAGTGCTGGGATTACAGGCGTGATCCACCGCGCCCGGCTGTGACGATGTTATTAATTGAGATCCAAGGAAATAAATCATGGAATCCAAATTCCACGTGCTACCAATATGACAAATAATACTCTATTCACTCTCTAAAGCCCCAGTTCCCTGGGAAGTGACGAAATGATAGGAAACATCAAACACACCCCAATCTCCTCAAGCCCTCCATTTTTCTATCTCATCCAGTCAGTCTACCTGGAGAAACTACATGTATTTCATGCTGACAGCTCTAAAAGCGATTAGAAACATTAGAATGGTAATCGCTGCTATCAGCTCCATCTGTCCTTTCTTACAGAGTGAAAAAACAAGTTGGCTCTTCCTGAAAGTCCTTGGAATTGAGAGCAAGGTCTTCAAGGCAGCTATGGATTGTCGCTTTTTAGCCACGCAACATTTTGAAGTACTACTGGAGAGTAAACAAGTCGTGGAATCATTGGCTCTTCCACCTGCGGAGCAGCAGCGGGGCGTGAAAGAGGCACAGCCTCAGCCACCACAACTATAAAGTATGGGACAAAAATTAAGCAGTCAACCAAATGATGTCCTTAATTGATCCCCAAGACTAGGGGAAAGTATTCAATAAGCAAGTAGTTGCTGCTTACAGCCGTGCCAAAAGGGAAGAAGATCACAAGTGCAGAGCTGCTAGAAGAGCAAAAATGATACTGATACATAGAAATTTTCAGAAAAAGAATTTCATGTAGCCACCTCAGGGCAAAGGTGAGAAACTACCACCTATGGTCGGCAACTCGTGCAACCTACCCTCTGAAGTTGTCCACCAGGGCTAACAAACTACAAATTCAGCAACGCTATAGAGGAGAGCCACTCGTGCATGTTAGGAAGAACCAAGGATCGGGGATGTCTATTGTCCCCATCCTAAAAATGTGGCCAACAGATTAGTCAGAACACCAGGAAAACAAGAACTCCGCCTCTTTATCCTATTTTGAGGCGGCACTGCAAGAGGGATTACCATCCAACACCTCTGTCCCCGAAAAATCCTTTTAATTCAAAAAACCATAGCCCGGTTCGGCGCGGCAGAAAAGAACCAAGAAAGGGAAGAGGAGCCCGGAAATCAACCCGCTGCAGTACTGCCACCAACTGCGGGCGTGGGACGCTTACCTTGGAGTCGGGGAGGCTGAACACGCTGGGGTCGTCCGTACTGCCCACCATGATCTTGTGCTCCTTCCCCGGGGCATGACCGCCTGCGCCCTCGGAGCGTGCAGCCTTGGCACCGTGGCGCTCCCCGGACACCCGGTCGCTGGTGGTGTTTCCCATGGCTGCAGCTCGTCGGGGACCACCTACCGCGGAGAACCACACCGGGCTGGGAACACCTCAGTAGCCGCGTCAGGGGCGCCCCCCGGCCCCGCCCATACGCCTTGGGACGGGGCAAGGGATTTCCCCGCCCCAGGGAGGCCAAGCCCCGGAGCCTTCTCCCTCCTGGCCTGCGGGAATGCCTGCAAATACCCCGGTGCCCTCGCTGCCCCTAGTCAGGAAACCCGCTATCGGGACTCCCCCGCGTCCCCGCGCTCACTGCCAGGGGCGCCCCCACGCCAGTCACCCCGGGCGATGCGCTCCCTCCTCCAGGGACCACTGAAGTGATGACTGTTCTGCAGATCAGGCCACCAATAAAGTTATTGAAATTGAAGCCGCACCCCTCGCTGGCGATCAGCGATTCCTCCTAAAATGGCTACAAGGCCGGCGGCGCGGAGTCGGCCCCGTGCGCGTTCCCTGCGGCCTGCAGCCTCGGCGTCCCGGGCCCGCCGGCCTCTCTAGCCGCCGCCGCCTCGATGGTGGGCAGTCGCACGCAGCCTCCAGCGCCAGGAGGGGGCGCCAGGCAGGGCTTGTGCCGCCTGGGGAGACTGCACCCGGGATCATTGGAGCGCTGGGCCTCTGAGACTACCCGGCGGAAGGGACGTTCCCACAGGACACTCGGAGGCCGCCTCCCTGGGCTCCGGCGCTCGGTGCCGGGAGAAGCGACGCGGCTTTCTACCCCGCCTCAGGTGCGCCAGCACGTTTTCTGGGCAGCATCTGTGTGTTAGGCGACGGGAGAGGGGGGTTCCTTACAGGGAATAAGAAAACTGAAACTGACTTCCAACTGCAGGCAGAAGGAAGCAATGGCCATTGCTGGAGGTTAAAACTGTTCTGGCCGGGCGCGGTGGCTCACGCCTGTAATCCCGGCACTTTGGGAGGCCTAGGCGAGCGGATCACGAGATCAGGAGATCAAGACCATCCTGGCCAACAAGTTGAAACCTGGTCTCTACTAAAAATACAAAAATTAGCTGGGCGTGGTGGCGCGCGCCGGAAGTCTCAGCTACTGGGGAGGATGAGGCAGGAGAATCGCTTGAACCCGGGAGGTGGAGGTTGCAGTGAGCCGAGATCGCGCCACTGCACTCCAGCCTGGCGACCGAGCGACACTCCGTCCCTCCGCCTCCCCGCCCCCCCCCCACAAGAAAAACCTGCTCAATAGGGAGCGACAAGGAAGGAGCTGTCAGCCCGACTGGGGTCGCAGGGAAAATTCAAGATGGCGTATTTAGGAGCTAGACCTTGACAAATTAGTAAAATGTTAGTCTTAGGAGAATAACGAAAAGGCTTTCCTAGTCTAAGAAACAGCATATGCAGTGAGAAACCTCAGAAGAAATAAAATTCAAGGAAGATGGCGACAACGAAAACATCAGAAGGAACCCTAAAGGTATAAAAAAGGCAAAGACAGTCGTAGGGTTGGGAGGGATCCAGGTTTTTTATGAAAATTAGTGGAATCCCTAAGGTACTTACCTTTGTATTAGAAGTATTTGCATGTCGCCTTCTCTACTAGAAACGTTTATCTGTGTTACACAGACCAGCAGCGTTGGCATCACCTGGGAGCCTGTTAGAAATGTAGAATCAGGCCCCATCCCCAGGGTTCAGAATCTGCATTTTAACAAGATCACATTAACGTGTGTGAGAAGCAATGCTTTGACAGCTGGCAGAGAGCAGATCCAGATTTGATACCTTTTCATATTCTGCATGTACCTTGTACAGAGCAGGCTTTTGTATTTGCGGAATGAAGGATACAGGAATACTGTTTACTGTAATCCATTTCTATCAAGATATGCCACTTAGGCTTAAACACGGCCAATGATGGAGAACCCCAAGTTACATAGGCCACCCTTTCTGAGTGAGCAGCTCTATTTGTTGAAAAGTTCATTTTTATATTATGAAGTTGACAGCCCACTTAAGTACAACAAATTCACTACTCCCCCATTCTTTGCTCTGCCCCTTATAAACTCATTCTTTGGCTCATAAACCGAAGACAGTTTACAGGAAGGAAAAAAAAAAAGGTACGATTTTACTGCAACTTCTTGCTCACCCCTCTGAAATCTTTACTGTCTGAGTACATTCTTTTTGGTTATCCCTACCTTTCTCCCTCCACCCCTCAATTCCTTACCATAGGACACTGAAGCAAGGCCCTTCAAGGTGTGATACATTAAACCTTGACTTGTGTAGTATTCAGTTTTCTGACCCCAAGGTGGTTTCACCATGCCAAATAATATGTCCTTGGTATGTATTTCCTTGCAGTAGTGAAATCAGCTTAGCAGAAACAAACTAACTATGTTAGCCAATGGAAAACTGAAGGAGAGAAATAAACTGTTTTTACACAGCTAAATGGAAATGACTTTTGTATTATCTCCTTTGGAAGATTATCCATGACACTGTTCTGCCCTGCTCTGCTCTAACAACATTTGTAAGTTACTCAACAGTTAATAATAAAAGTCAATTTTGAATATTGCATGTTTTAGACACAGAACAAATGTAATATGACACTGTAGGAAGAATGAATTCTCCTTAGTCCCAAATTCCTTTTTTTTTCTTAGATTCAGGAATAAGTAGGTAAAGATACAAGATCTTCTTAACCAGTATCAGTATAATTGTTCCCTTTAGATTTATTGCTGTCACCCCAATGCTCTTCTTTCTTTTTTTTTTTTTTTTTTTTGAGACGGAGTCTCCCTCTGTCGCCCAGCCCAGGCTGGAGTGCAGTGGCGCGATCTCGGCTCACTGTAAGCTCCGCCTCCCGGGTTCACGCCATTCTCCTGCCTCAGCCTCCCGAGTAGCTGGGACTACAGGCGCCCACAACCGCGCCCGGCTAATTTTTTGTATTTTTAGTAGAGACGGGGTTTCACCGTGGTCTCGATCTCCTGACCTTGTGATCCGCCCGCCTCGGCCTCCCAAAGTGCTGGGATTACAGGCGTGAGCCACCGCGCCCGGCCCCAATGCTCTTCTTTCTAAAGGGAAGGAAAAGAAGGGGCTAATAGGAAAAGTAATTGGTGGGGGTTGTCCTGATGTTACTGTGTCTAGGACATCATTGCCACTGGTCTCCTCAGATCGACCATTCTGCCTAATAAACAGGAAAATAACATGGGCAACCTCACATGCAAGCGTTTACACACACTGCTAAAGAGATCTCGCTTCCTCTGAGAGGTGAGGATGTGAGAATGAGGGAAGAGTATATTGATTTTACAGAACTGGATGACAGGTTAAATTGGGCATCTGGAGGCTTATATTCCCATCTCCACTCACCAAGTTTCATCCTCCATTTATGACCAAGGATAGGTATAACATCTGATCTTGATGGTTACTGTTTCAAAAAACAATCTGGTCTTTTTTTTAAAGTTAAGCATTTACTTAATCATGTAGCATAGTAATTCCCACTCCTGGATATTTATCCAAGTGATATAAAAACAAGTTTACACAAAACCTGTAAGCACATATATGTCTTTATTCATATAATAGAAAAACACAAACCCTAAAATGGAAAAAAAAAACATTAATGTCCTTCACCTGGTGATATGGTTTGGTTCTGTGTCCCCACCCAAATCTCATCTCAAATTGTAATCCCCATGTGTTGCAGGAGGGACCTATAACCTCCACATGTCAAGGGAGGGAAGTGATTGGAGCATGGGGGCGGTTTTCCCCATGCTGTTCTTGGAATAGTGCATGAATTCTCACCAGAGCTGATGGTTTTAAAAGTGTTTGGCAGTTCCTCCTTCATTCACACACACTCACTGACTCCCACCTGCTGCCACATAAGACGAGCTTGCTTCCCCTTCTACCATAACTAAGTTTCCGAAGGCCTCTCCAGCCATGCAGAACTATAAGTCAATTAAACGTCTTTTCTTTATAAATTACCTAGTCTCAGGTATGTCTTTATAGCAGTGTGAAAATAGGCTAATACATCTGGTGAATCAATAATTAAAATGTAGCATAGCTATAAATGGAATACTACTGAGTAATAAAAAGGTATAACTCAATACATACAATAATATTGATGAATCTCAAATGCATTATGGAAAGTAAAAGAAGCCAGGCTCCACTTATATGACATTCTGGAAAAAGGAAGACTATATAGTCAGAAAACGGATCAGTGTTTGCCAGGACTTGGGGATGGGGGTGGGGAGTGATTGACTACAATATGGCATGAAGAAATTTTGAAGGGGAGTTATGGAACAGGTCTAGATCTTGATTATAGTGGAGTTATTTATACTCACCAAACTGTACAATAAAAAAGTAAGTTTTTATTGTATGAAAACTATGCCTAAATTTAAAAAACTATTACTAAAATCAGCGTTAGCAAAAGATACGAGTTTATACACAAGAGACTTCTCAACCATTGGGTAAACTAATTATTTTTAAAACAAATACCATTGATTTTAATCTTTTTATAGTTTTTATACAGGCAGAGAAATAGTAGTGATTCTGCTCACCTAAAGGAAGATAGACCCAATTCAAAGGTACAGAATTTTCCCCAAATAGTATCATACTTTTTCCTTTCCGATTCCAAAGGATTTGCATGTAAATTCTATCATGTGATCCTCAGAACCACCCTATGAGGGTTAGCAGAAGAGATATGATCAATGATACTCCATTTTATAAATGAGGTGCAGGTTAAATATTTAGCCAGTATTTCTTGAAGTGATAAGTATAGTCCATTTATTTCAACAAACCTTGATTGAGGGCCCCAATACTTGTTGAGCTTTTGCTGAGCCACCCCTGCTCTAGAGGCGCACACCCTCTTGAAATCTCTAAGGAAACTACTACAACTCTAGATAGATATGGTTTATAGTGATACTGTGACTAAATATTCACTGGAAATTTCCTCTAAAATTATAGACATACATTATTGGAATAATTAGTAACTCAATTAGCATCTTCATTAACTATGTATCTACTATGTATATATCATCACCATATGAGTATTAATTTGGTGCAAAGAGGCTGCCAACTCTAAAATTATTTGATGTAGGACAAGTACTTTTATCTTTCTAGCCATAAATTTTCTCATCTGTAAAATGAGAGGATTACGCATGTGATCATTAAATCCTGGGTTAGGGTAGGAGACATCAATATGAAATGTTTAGCTTAATATAGATACAGATCAGTAAATATTGAAATACTTAAAAATACATGTGGATTCATGTGTAATACATTACTATACACACATATATTTCCAAGTTCTGTCCTCCAAAGGCCTAGAAGCAATGACAAGCAGAAGCAAGGAGCACACCCAGCATACAGTTCTTGGTTTCTAATACTGTTCTCCAACAAAAGGAACCAGAACCCTTGAGAGAAATGCCTAATTCTAGGACTGGGGCAGGGGATATACAAGATGAGTCTGAAACATCTTATAGTGTCAGAAAGTAAACAAGTGCTTTAAAAAGACACAAAAAACTGATGGTAGGCCGGGCACGGTGGTCAAGCTGTAATCCAGCATTGGAGGCCAAGACGGGGATCACGAGAGAGATGAACATCCTGGCTAACCAGTGAACCCTTCTACTAAAAATAAAAAAAAAAGAGCGGGCGAGGGGGGGGCCGTAGCAGCTACAGGGGCGAGGGGGAATGGGGCCGGGGGGGCTGCAGGAGCGAGATCGGACTGCACTCAGCTGGGAAGAGGAGACTGTCTCCAAAAAAAAAAAAAACTGATGGTATATCAAAGTGACATTGGAGCCAACTAAAAGAGTTCCCAATGGCTAAAGCTAGAATAATACAAAAAATAAGTAATTTAGCATTGGATTATAACCCAAATTATAAAATAAGATCCATGAGTTCATACTGATACAAGTAAATGATTGAAGAAACAAATAATTGGGAGATAATTCTCATATTGAAAAATTCCAAAAATTTATGTTCTCTACCCTTGAGAAGATGGAACATAATTCTCTACCCCATAAGCGTAAGTCGAGCTTAGTAAATTTTTTTCAAAGAGCACAGTATGGAAAGGAGGAAGAACACTACCTCAACCAGCTCATCAAGGCTGACATCTCTAGTAATGTCATTAGTGGCATGTAACCTTGATATGATATGATGAGAATAGCATTTGATCTTTGATCTCTGTTTCCTCCCTGAAACTCATTGCCCCAGCCTAATCATGAAGAAATATCAGACAATCTCAAATTAAGTACAAAATACTTAACCAGTACTCTTCAGAACTATCAAGGCCACCGAAAACAAGCAAAGTATAAGAAACTGTCACAGTCTAGAAGAGCCTGGTGATGACTAAATGTAATGTGGTATCCTGGATTGGAATCCCAGGACGGAAAAAGAACATTAGGTTAAACTAAATCCAACTTGAGTATGAAACTTCCTTTTTTTTTAAGTGCCTAAGTCCTGAATGACAACAAAAGACTGAGGAACTGACAAAGATTAGAGGACACTAAGGAGACTTAACAACTAAATGCAAAATGGGACCCTGAATCTGATCCTGGAACACAAAAACTAAATTAGTAGAAAAGTGGTAAAATAGGCATGCAGTCCATGATTTACTTAATAGTATAATATCAGTGTTCATTTTTTTATTTTGATAATTGTCATAATGTTGTATGAAATATTCTCTTTAGGGAGCCTGGTAAGGAATATATAAGAACTCTATTATTTTTGTAACTTTTTTGGAAGACTGAAATCATTTCTAAATAAAAAGTCTTAAAAATCACTAACGTAATAAAAATATTTTTTTTATTAGTATAAAATAGGAATTATACCAGTGAGGAAGTCCGGTGTCATGTTCTATAGTCAGAAGATTCTTCAAATGAGAGAATGTGCATTTGAATATAGACAGAAAAGACTCTGAAAAGAGCTTTTTTTTGTTTGGTTGGTTTTTGTTTTTGTTTTTTTGTTTTGTTTTGTTTGAGATGGAGTCTTGCTCTGTTGCCAGGCTGGAGTGCAGTGGCGTGAACTTGGCTCACTGCAACTTCCACCTCCCGGGTTCAAGCAGTTCTCCTGCCTCAGCCTCCCAAGTAGCTGGGACCACAGTTGCATGCCAAAACGCCCAGTCAATCTTTGTACTTTTTAGTAGAGATGGGGTTTCACCATTCTGGCCAGGATGGTCTCGATCTCTTGACCTCGTGATCCACCCGCCTTGGCCTCCCAAAGTGCTGGGACTACAGGCATGAGCCACCATGTCCGGCCTGAAAAGAGCCTTAAAATAAGTTTATTTAAAATTCTCAGAGAAAGGAAGATGCCAGTTTGAACACACCCCAGCTCCATGCCATTTCTACCCCTACCCACCCAATTTCCACAAGTCAGAAGCTATTGGTACTAGCAGATAATAGAGTACAATAAAGGCCTAAGGATCAGTGAGAGGCCTGACAGAACAGATACGGGTTCACCT